TGGGTGAAGTGGCTTCAGAGGATAGACAGGCTGTTGACATTAATGTCAATGTTTTAAAACACTGACGGTGTAAGAACACTTCACTTAAAACACATCTAAGTTGCGTTACTGGATCACTTGCATATTCAAGCAACTAAGTCAAAATCACTTAATGTGGCTAGATAAAACACGGAACTGGACAGTACCTGTGGGCAGAGTGGTTTCAGACGTTAGACTGAGGCCGAAAGAGTCAGCGTCTTGCCTCTTGCCTCTCACGCTCACCCCTGAGTTCCATTCACACAAATAATATCTACAAACGTTGTTACTCTACATTTTGATGTGTGAAAAGCAGGCTACAAACTTATTTCAATTTCCTTAGATCAACTTTTTAAATTAAGACATGACTGAGCTGTTGAAGACAATAATTTAATTGATTTCAAGGTTCAAGATGGCAGTCCCTGGTGGGCGGAGCGTAAGACAAGGAGCATTAGGTTTCACCCGTTAGATTCTCAGAGATACGTGGTCTGATTGTTCCCTTCAGGATAATTAATTACCTTCTTAATTAACATCCTTACAACAATTTCACCATGAACATCAGATTCTCTGATGTTCATGGGTGAAAAAGAGGTAACTTCAGCATTAGTTAGCAAATCCTAGCATCTCTAGGGACGACGTTAATGATACCTTATTCTTGTAGTAGACTCTACCCTGATTTATATTGATAATTTCACAAACGGTAAATACAATAGAAGCTTTCAACGTCACTCACAAAGGATGTTAAACACTTAATCTGTAATCAGCCATCTCTAATTTGATGCAAAACAATAGTGTTCTCTCTCAAATTCAAATTTCACGAACACCCTATGAAGTATTGAGTAATACCCGAGTCTCTGCGGTAATACGTAATGGAATATGGAGAACCCAGGTCTCATGAAGCGGTTAGAGAACGAATACTTCAACTGGAGGACTCAAAAGGTTTGCAGGTTTTGTGGGTGAGGGGCATAATATGAATTATTAAGTGTTAAATAGACTAGCTATGCTATTGTGACTATGACAAGGTTGTGTAAGCTTTGGTTGTGCAAAGTTAGGTTTGGTTAGCATTTTGGAGTTTAATCATCAGATGAAATTGTCTGGGTTTCCTTATCTTCACGTGATTCTTATATTTTAGGAATTTTATGCTTTGTAGAAAATATGAGCTGTTAGATTGCTGTCACAGATTTTAAAGTGACCAAAGAATGTCCGTCAGTACCAAGTGTTTCCCTTTTAAAATTTTTTTACATCATCGTGTGGAATGAATTTTGAAATGTGCAGATGTATGCCACCAGTAGATAGGTAGATATTCAGGAATTAGAAAAAATATAAACATATGATTAATAACAAGGTGCATTACTTAATTGGAAAAAGAGATGTCACCGTTGAGTAGTGTAGAGGGAGTGTTGGGCAGTAGATGTGTCATATCTAACATGAAAGTAACCTCATTTATAGAATATTTGTTTCAATCACAGGGTACAGAAGTGTATGGTAGCCACACATGTTCTTCTGTACTCAGTAGCGTATATATGTTCACGGAAAGGGGGGGGGGGAGCAAGTTTCATGAGTCAAGATAAGGCTATGTAAAAGGATACCCTTTTTATTTTTCATTCACTTTTTTTAGCAAGCATATTTTATTTGCATAACAGTAAAATAAACAGATATACAGTAGGTTTAATTTGCAGTTGCATATTTGTAAACTGTTATAAAACAAATTAAACAGTGTACAGAAAATTGTATTCATAGAACATAAAAGTTTCTTGCAAAAAATATACAATAAACATGTTAAAAGAAAGCACATTTTTCTCTTCTAGGATTGTTGCAAAATTAAGTACTTGGCTATGGAGAGAGAGAGAGAGAGAGAGAGAGAGAGAGAGAGACTATGGGCAGCTGAATGAGCATTCACTTGTAGCAGTTGTCATAGGAAGTGTTGCAAGAATATATATCAGAGTTTGGATGTTTTGGTATGTGCCAAATTCTCTTCAAACTTTTAGTAAGGCAACAGCCTTTTTGGGTCTGTCTTTCTCCATGTCTTTTCCAAGTTTTTTGCCATCTTGCAAATTCTGCTTGTACCTCCTCCATACTGCCATCAAGGTATCAGGTAGCAGAGCTTCTACTATGAACTTTGCTTAGAAGTGAAACGCTCTTTCAATTGCAGAATAACTGTGTCAATGAAAGGCAAAAAACAGCGTGCCTATACAGTGGTCCCTCGGTTAACGAGCACAATCCGTTCCAGCAGGTTGCTCGTTAACCGAAACCATTGTTTCAATGGGTTTTTGGGTAATTGGTTCCAGCTCACCAAAAATTGCCTAAATTCAACAAAAAAGGTAAAAAAGTACACTTACTTTGAGGTGTGTATGTAGAAGGCTCCTGGATGATGATGATGATGATGATGATGATGGGAATTAGATGGGGGTGGAGGAGAAGGGAGAAGAGAAGGCACTGGGGTGGAAGAGAAGTCACCCCATGGCACCATTTCACCCGTAAAATTTTAGTTCTCTTGGTGTAATTCAAGATTATTTTCTTTGAGTCAACACTGCATTGCATTATATATTGTCAATATGCAAAATAAATTTCAAAATTACCAATAATTTGCTTGGAAACACAGGAAAAAAGCATTTAGTTGAAGAGAGTCTCAAGCAAGATGTTACCTCCACTGAAAACAGAGAGAGACTAACGCCTGTCTGGTGTGTTAACAGGCTGGATGGCACGCCAGAAACTAGTTTCTTTACCTTCAATTATGTTCAATAATTGTTAAAATGACTAAAAAAGTTAATATTAAACTTTTAAAATTATTGAATACATGTAGTATAAACTTCTTGATATTTACTAAAATAGTAAGGAATTTAAGCCCTAAAACCGATTACACGTACTGTATTGGCGGACTAATACTACAGCTGGTGGATCGCCAAATGCAAGCGAAAACATGTTGAAATCGACTCGTAAAAAACTCGTTAATCGAGGGATTGCTCGTTAACCGAAGTTAAGAATCTTATGGAAGGTAAATCGTTAACCGAAATCTCGTTAACCGAGGCGCTCATTAACCGAGGGATCACTGTAATAGGAGTATGCATCATCAGCTGGGGTATAAGACCAGGTCTGTTGTCGTCTTTCACTGCTAGGGGCTTTAATTTTTCTCCGGCATTTATGTTCTGCATTCTCAAATAATCTTTGGAATGTATCATCATTTCTGTACATTTGCAACACATCCATGCAGTTCTTCACACTATCAAAAGCTTGTACCAGAGCCATCTCAACACCTTGCAATTTCTGAGATAGAGGTCTTGTAACATTTAAAGTAGCTGATAGAACCTCCATACTTCCAAGGAAAGTATCTGATGTCATCCTCTTTAAGAAAGATAGACATTTTCCCACCAAAGTTGAGTCCTTTTGATGCAGAGAAGTCTTCTCATGCTTTTACAACTGCTGGATACAATGCTTTGAAGATTTGAGTGGACTCTTGTGCCTCAACCCATCTTGTGGGGCAGTGCTTTTTCAGTCTACTATGAGAACCAGAAGGACAACTCTTGGTTATCTTACTTTGCAAATGAGCTGAACGCTTGTTTGGTTCCCTGAAGAATGTGATTCTCTCTCTCATGATAATTAGTGCAAACTAAATTTCTCTTACATTTGCTGCTTTCTCTAAGCAAATGTTAAGGCAATGAGTCATACAATGTACGTATGAAGCCTTGGGACACCTATCCATTATATGCTTTTGTACACCACTGAATTCACTTGACATGGCAGCAGTGTGGGGTATGGGTGGTTTGTTCGGACTCAGGATGGGATGGAGAAAGGAAACTCACAATGTGCTCTCTGTATACATGTATTGGATGTACAATGCAGCTTGGTGCTGGGAAGTGGCAGCGTGGTTACAAGCGTGATGGAGAGAGAGCTGGTTGGTGAGGGTGCTCAGAGGAGGACAGCTTGTGGGTCGCCATGCTCGCCGGCAGGAGCTACTCAGCGACAAACAGCTTTTGTAGGGGAGAAATCCACTACAGCAGCACATCATACCCTTGCTCTACCATGAGCTCTGTGTTGATGTGTGATTTGTGAAGAATGCTTAACTGTAGTAGCTAAGCCATTACCTGTCATATGTGGAACTAAAGAAAAGCACAGTAATCTTTCCTGCACTGAGCATGACAGAGTGAAAAATTTCACACTGGAGTAGTAGAAGTGGTGAGAATAGGGGGGGCCATGACCGAGTGAAAAATTTCACACTGGAGTAGTAGAAGTGGTGAGAATAGGGGGGGCCATGACCGAGTGCCCCCCCCCCCCCATATACGCCACTGCCTATACTGTACTTCCATATTATTGATCTCATCCCCGAAATTTTCTGGGTAACGGCAAAATGTTCTCGGAAGTTCCAGTGATTGCCCACTACATCTTCTCTCGAACCTGGAAAAATATCCCTCATCCCCGGAATTTTCCGGGTAACGGAAAAATTTTCTCTGAATTTCCAGAAAATGCACCTAATTTTTATCTCTCAAACCTGGAAAAAACTCCCCCATCCCTGGAATCTTATGGATATCGGGAAATTTTGGGGGGAATTTCCGGAAAATGTGCCCCTCAGAAAATCATTCCCAAAGCCAGAATTTTCCAGAAAATTCCGGCTTTGGTAACGATTTTCCGAGAAAATTTCAATTCCAGCTATCGGAGAGTTCCGGGTTTGAGGGAGTCCTGCTAACGGAGATACCTGTATTACTGTACACTGTACCTGTATTGCCAATCTTCATCAGTCAGGTCTCAGACAAGACTTACTTGAATCGCCCATTGATGCAGAACATTTTTGCCTATAGTACTGGTGTGATATTATATGAGCTTATTTGTACTACAGCTTTTATTTCTAATTTTTACACTATTTATATCTAAAGAAATATGATTATATTTTTACATCATTGTACTATACTGTATATACATAAACCTGGTATTTTTCTTCCCGATTTTAATTAGTGTGTGTTTCTGTACTTCATAAGTTTCTTCATCCTCAGAGGCACTTGGGGAGCAAGTTATGGTACACATCTAGGTTCTGTTTTGCATGAGCTGGCCCACACCCTTGACTTGGGCCACACCCCACATGGCATCATGGCCAGAGGCTTTGAGGATCTGCATGTATTCTTCACGACCACCAAGCTCACCTCGGATTACCTACCCCAGTCTCCCCATCACAGGTGTGTGTGTGTTTCCAGCCACTCATGTGCAGGTTCCATGGTTACCTTGTACAGTATTTTGTTGTTCTCAAGTACAGTAAAGCCTCCGATAACGACGGTTCAACTAACGAAGATTCATATCTAATACCCTGGTTAATTTAAGACCCAATTCAATTACGTCATTATTTTCATCGTATTTACGACAAAATTAAGAAAATATATTACATTTTTGTATAAATAATAACTAAATCCCGATATTATATATAAACAAACTCCTTGCGCACGGAGGCTGCCAGGCTTGTTAGTGGTGACTCCAGCATCACTCGTATAAACAATCGCAGCTGGTGGGCCCTTTGTTTTCACACATCTGAACAGGAAAGGGAGAAAAACTTTATCAGGTTTCTTACAGTATTTTGCATCTCTATTCAACATGAGCAAGTGGTGTTGTTTCAAAAGCTAAGAGAAAGTGTATAAGCTTAGCCGAGAAACTGGATGCATTAAAACGATATGAAAAAGGTGAGAGGCCTGTGGGTATTATATAGAGCAAGCAATGAACGTATTTTCTGAAGTGGATCCATTAGCAGAACAAATCATTAAAATTTAAATAAACACAAATGACCTCTACATAAAGATGTATAATGAGAAAAGAAAGCAGCTGTGCAAGGTTCTTTCGACAGCTTTATTATTCGAAAGCCTAAACCATCAACTTCAGCTACACCATCAAATTCAGTATCATATGCAGTTTCAACAACAACTTCAGGTTCAGTAACAGTTTCAGCAACAGCTTTGTGGAAAGCTACAGATTCAGCCAGAGTTGAACCTGATGACTGAGTAAAAACTCGCACAACATCATTGGCTGTCCTTATGTTTTAGATTTTACCACTGCAGTATTGGTGAGTAGAATTTTTGTTTAACATTCGTAAGTATTATATGAACAGTAAATAAGTGTTGGTTTCATATTCATATGTAGAGAATTGACGATATATTTTCATATTTACGCATTTACTGTACATACGTTGGCGTTCCCAATCGTCTCGCTTTATTTCTTTACCAGCCAGGGTCATATTTTCTTCAGTTTCTTATGTAGAACCATCGTCACTCATGAAAACAATGCCGTTTTGTCTCCTTGTGTGTGTTTTAATATTCTACATATTATTAATGAATTGCATTGTTCATTTCACATATATAAACATTAATTCAATCAAATACAGTGGTCCCTCGGTTAACGAGCGCAATTCGTTCCAGAAGGTTGCTTGTTAACCGAAAAACTCATTAACCGAAACCATTGTTTCAATGGGTTTTTGGGTAATTGGTTCCAGCTCACCGAAAATTGCCTAAAATCAACAAAAAAGGTAGTAAAGTACACTTACTTTGAGGTGTGTATGTAGAAGGCTCCTGGATGATGATGATAATGGGAATTCGAATGGGGGTGGAGGAGAAGGGAGAAGAAAGGGCATTGGGGTGGAAGAGAAGTCAACCCCATGGCGCCATTTCACCCATAAAATATTAGTTCTCTTGGTGTAATTCAAGATTATTTTCTTTACATCAACACTGCACTGCATTATATATTGTCAATATGTAAAATCAATTTCAAATTGACCAATAATTTGCTTGGAAACACAGAAAAAAAGCGTTTATGTTGAAGAGAGTCTCAAGCAAGATGTTACCTCCACTGAAATGACACAGAGACTGACGCCTGTATGATGTGTTGACAGGCTGTTTGGCGCGCAAAAAACTAGCTTCCTATACTTCAATTATGTTCAATAATTGTTAAAATGACAAAAAAAATTAATATAAAACTTATAAAATTATTGAATAGTACAAACTTCTTGATATTTACTAAAGTAGTAAGGAATTTAAGCCCTAGAACCGATTACTGTATTGGAGGACTAATACTACAGCTAGTGGACCGCCAAATGCAAGCGAAAACATGAGGGGCGCTCGTTAAAAACTCGTTAATCGAGAGATTGCTCGTTAGCTGAAGTTAAGAATCTTATGGAAGGTAATTCGTTAACCGAAATCTCGTTAACCGAGGGATCACTGTATATATTCAATAATAAACAATAATGAATCTTTTGTACATTTTCTTAAGATAAATGACTATGTTTCCTTGATTGTGAACGTATACATTGGCGTTCCACTATCTGTCTCACTTTTTTTCTTTAATATCAGTGGTTACTTTACTGTACATTAAATAATATTAATTAAAACATACATATTTTTTTGCATTAATTTTACTACAACAACAACAACCAGGGTCTTATTTTCTTCAGTTTCAGGTGGATAACTGACATTATGGGTGTAAACACTGACAACAATCCCATCTCTTATCTTCTTGTGTGTTTTAATATTCTACGTATTATTAATGAATTGTATTGTTCATTTTGCATATACCATATATACTCGTGTATAGTTCGAGTTTTTAAGACCAAATTTTTAGGCAAAAAATTGGGGGTCGTCCGATACATGCGTAATAGTTTTGTCAGGTTGAACCCGTGCATGATGGGAAGGGCGAGGAGCAACTTTTAGCTTCAGACCTGAAAAATATTTACCATTTACTGCCAGTAAACAATGGAAACGTAAAATATGTACCAATTAGTAATGAAAAGTTGTGCAGTGCCTTCAGTAAATGAAGCTCACCGACTTACAATTGGCTAAATTACCTTACAACGTGCTTTCAGTAGTCTATGTTGAAGTTCTTTGCACAGGCTAACTTGTCATATCATATACGGTATCACAGTTCTCATTGATCTACAAAAAATACCGGTATTAAAAACCTTTTCGATATTTCACACTTAATATAATACCCGGTAATCTACTTCAACCTCCTATTGTTTACAACGACACATGATGCATCACGCACCACCAGCTGTACCAGCTAGACGGTACACATGTTTTTCGAATCGTTTTCAGTTAAAAAACTGTTACATCACCAGTATATTTTACCTTGACTGTGCCTGAATGAATATATTCTCGGAAATAAATAGTAGTTTTGCTGAAACGTGATGTATTTTAATGTAAAATAGGATAAAATACATGACGAAAACAAAAGATTTTACCTAACCTTCCGATGTTCAAGAGAAGTTACTCGTTTTTTTAATAGTTTTTGGTTAAAATATTGTTACATTACAATGGTATTCTATTCATACTGTGCTTGATATAATGCATTCACGGAAATGTAATATTTTTGCTGAAATGACGTACGTATTAGGGTGTGTCATACGGAGGCGAATTTTTTTTTTTTGAGTTTGAAAAATCGGCCCATGGTATTAATGATGTAGTTCTATGTGCAGAATCATGTGATATCTTCAGATTTGAAAAGTTTTCATTTTTTGCTAGGTAAAATTTAACTTGAAATCTTATGAAAATTCAGTATTCCCACCCTTTTACCAACACCACTAAATAGCTTATTTAAAGTAAAGTAAATGTATCAGGTTAATTTATTAGGATGAAAATGATCCAGAATAGTGAAACGAATGATCTTGACACATATATTAAATTTAATATTCCTTTAGAAAACAAAATCATCAAATACAAAAACCGGTTTTACTACTACGACCCGGTGTTGCTGCACACCATAGAGAACATGTCTTTCTTGCTTCTGTTTCTACTCATCACCTCCCTGCTGACCACCTGAGCTCGGATGTAGCCTTCCCTCCTCTCCTGGCTGTACACGTGACTGCTGGCCTCGCTCACTTGCTGTACACAACGCTCTATACTCTGGGTGTGCGAGGGCCAGGCAGGGACATGCATGGGGTTGTCCAGGAAAGCTCTGACTTGAACATTGGTGAGGCTGCAGGTAAGAGGGGGCTCACTGCCAGCCTGGATGTTATCCAGATCTATGAGATCAGTGAGGGTCTTGGCACCTAGATTGACTTCAGGAGTCTTCCTGACCCTGAAGGAATCGCACCAACTGATTCGTCATGCCCAGATCCTCTCATAAGTCTCATATCCAAGATCTTTTTGACTGCCACTCTTCTCTCCTCCTCATCCTTACTGCAGAGCATTGTCTGCAGAACTGCCTCGGGATGAGCATACCAAGATCATCTCCTCACAGTCTGCTCCACAATCTGAACAACCTTCCTTGGCTGACTCCTCAGGAGCTCAAGCTGGAAGAGAACATGCCTCGGACCTTCGGAGAACGATGACCTGACCTTGGTGTTGAACCAATTTGGCAAGTAGACACTCACGATGAATTTGACAATAAGTCTCAGGTTGTGAAGCTGGTTCCCTTTCAGTTTATGATGATTGACCCAAATTCTGCAGAACCTGAGAGCCGTTGTGAGCCACCTAGAATGTGAGACTGGACCTATCTGCAGGTAAGCAAGTCTATCAGGCATGACCCCAGTTTTGATGGCACTGCAAATCATGTAACCATAGTACTGGTCAGTACTCAGGTCGTCAATGACAGTATGTGCAAGCTCAACGAGTGGAGGGCCAACTGTGATTTTTTCAAAGCTCGGATTTATTTCTAACTCAGTGGCAGAGTCCAGCATCTTGCCAAGAGGACCAGACCATCTGTTGTTTGAAAGAGTCTTGCCATCCAGCTCCTGGATCAGATGTCTGAGTGGCAACTCGTTGGTGTGGAGGTCACAAACAATCCAGACCAGCTTTCTCCCAATCTTCCGCTCTATCCACTGTATGAACCCCCCTTGCCACCCTGTGTTCGTGTTGGTGCTGTCCTCTCCAATGGCCTGCAGGGTCTGGTCTACGTTCCTCTCTCTCAGCCAGTTCACAATGTTATCTGCCACTATCTCAGCTGGTTTCCTGATGTCATCTTTCTCTGGAGTGAAATGCCACAAATACTTCCCTCCTGGTTCACTGCAGCAGGAGTAGTGTTCCTCCTTCACCATGGCAGGGAACAACTTGTCAGAATCTCCAACTTTCAGGAACACTTTAGTGTTATCCCTTCTCCCATCAAAGAACAAACAATTGATTCCATTTTATCTTATCCCCTTATCAAACTCCTCTTCTAGGTTACTGACAAGTTTCTCCTGAGCTCTCCTTACTTTGTTATGATC